CCTTATTTAATTACGGGTAGCCTGTTGATTTACCCTTTAGATTTGAGCTATATGAAAGAAGTTGTATGCTTTTAAAACACTATTACTTCTAGCTTTTGTAGATTTCTATAACTTTCGTGAGAAAATCACGTGCTGACAACCTGAAAGCAAGCCCCTGGGCCATTACCAGGTTTTTTTATATAGCAACATTTAATGATGATCCCGATCTACAAAATACGACCATTACTATAAATAGTGCTGATAGTTTGCTTGTTTAAATTTTTAATGTTTTCGCTTTTGTTGAGAGTTATTATGCTTTATCTATTTAGAGCAAGCTGATATGTTGTAGATTTCTTACGATGAATGATATTAAAGGAAATAGCTGTAAACCGTCATGGATCGCCGTGTAGCAGGTTGATTTGTTTCTCGGTTTTATGTGCGCTGTGATTTGCGGCGAAACTATTTTCCCTCCCAAGCCTCTTACGGCTCCGTTGCTCATTGCTTCGTTACACACAAAAATCACTATCTACGTTGGTAAGGTTATGGTGGATGCCTTTTATACCATTTTTAAGACCTTTGGTTGGGTTTGCGCTAAGATGGTATGGTGATAGCGAGTGGCAATTGTAACTAAAAAAATTTTATTCTGCTTGTCCTCTGAATAAAGAGAGTGTGTGTTGGGGGAGGCGTAGAAGCATGTAACAGCATTGTAACAAAAATCTTAACGGGATTTAAAATTCATGAAGTCTGAAAATGTTCCATGAACAATGACGAGAAACACCGATGGTGAGCTAAGGAAGTGTTTAAATAGCATCAAGACCCTACACTACATTATAGACCCTATTTCCTCGTGAGAATCCCTAGTCGCTGAACACGTGAACTGGGCGAAATCGGTTTGATCAGGCGTTTCCGAGAGACATCAAAACACGTCATTTTGCGATATTTTATCGAGCTTTTATCCCGGTAATTAGTTATACTAGGGCGGACCTGACTGGCCAGATAAGTCAGTTTTAACATAAATGGGCCTTTTTTTCATCGTTCAGTCTTAAATTCAACGTTTGTGGACAAAGAATAATAAGAACCATTTATTGGCTAACAAAAACACCGAACTAGCTCTCGAGGCATTAATAGGGAAAGCCCTTGTGGCAATGTTTTCGTTCCACTGATTAGAATAGGTATTATTCCAGCATACCTTTAGCGTTTCTGTGAGGGCGTGGAATTTCTATTTTAATTAGTGTAGGGAAAACGTTGTCATACGGGCTCACGGCTAGGTCGCATAGCACCTCACCTAAGAACTTCCGGAAGACTCAGAGAAGACTGGGGGTTGGTAACCACCAGAAGTTCGCGGGAATTTCGTGGCTAGCCTTGGACTCAGTAACATGGCCGATGACATGGCCGCCAGCGAAGTGTTTACGACCTTTAGAGGCGACGTGCTGTTCTTTTCTCTTTTAAATACGGGCAGCAACGATGAAAACTGTATTGAAGTTCAAATCTTCGGCTTTTCTAAATCTTCTAGATCCTTCACAAGAACTGCAAAGAAACTGTTGCCCCTTGGAATTTTAGGATGCAAACTAGAACTCGTATCTGCAAGTTGTTTGATGAACTCAACCACAGGAATGTACCAGCCTTTTATTTTGCTACGCCAGATTCGCATGAAGCATTCCAGCACACAAAAGTTGCATGTATTGCTTCTAGAAGACTATGATTCGGTTATTCTGCAAGGCAGTTGTGAGATAAGTCACGTCTCACCAATACAGAATATTGAATTTTATTTTTGTGATGGCCCCACAGTTTGTTGGAATTTTGAAGGGGTTATGTACTTTGCATGCTATGATGCCGTTCTTGAGAAGTTTACAACTGATTCTGTAACGGTTGATAACTCTATGGATGAAAGATCAGGTGTGGAATTTAATATATTTTGGTGTGGGTTATTAAGAGGCCAAGTTGTTTCCATGGGAGTAAAATCAGAAATGACAGATGATGCCAGCACCTTAGAAAGATGGACATGTGTCAATCATACTCATAAAGATGTTCAAGAAGTCTCATTGG